CTCTACCTGACGCTCATAGCTTTGATTATGAATTTGTAAAGAAAAGCATCTTAAATGCGTATCAGTTAAATCCAGAGGCACACAGGCAAAAGTTTAGAAACCTAAGGAGGATAAGTGATCAGACAATAGCAGATTTTACTCGTCAGAAGACGAATTTTTGCAACAGATGGTTAAAGTCACTTTCAGTCACTGACTTTGATGCTTTAAAGAATCTTCTTATAATGGAAGAAGTATTGTCATGTCTCCCAGACCAGTTGTCTACTTTTATGGCAGAACAAAAGAATGTAACAGACATTTATGAGCTGTCAAAGCTCGCGGATGAGCATGAGTTGTTGACTAAGGCCCAGTTTACGGCCACTTCACCTAAGTCTAGTCGTAGAGTAAATTATAATGCTCCCCGAACTCCTTATCAGAATCCATCCCGTCCTAGTGCTCCAGTTACTCCCATGAGCTCTTCTCTTACAAAACCTAACCCTGCTACTTCATTGTCAGGAATGTCAAATAATAATAAGGTTATTTCTAAACCTACCGTTGGTTCCACAAGTGTGTCCACTGTAAGGTCCTGTTCCCATTGTAAGAGAAAAGGCCATGGAATTAATTCATGTTTTATATTGCACCCTGAGTTACGACCAACTGGTCTCATTTATTGCAGAGGTGTGCAAAATAAACTTACTAATAAACATGTAACTGTAAACCCCAATTGGGTGAAACAGTATTCACCATATATGTCTTCAGGTGAAGTTTTGTGTATTAATGGGAAGTGGAAGCCAGTGGTTATTCTTCGTGATACAGGTGCTTCCCAAACCATAATTTCATCCAGTATTCTTTCTGATGTTGAAAAGAAAGAGACAGGAAAGTTTGTTGTTCTTCAGAGTGTTGCAGGATGTAAAACTGTACCTCTAATAGACATTAATTTCAGATCCACCATTACACCAAGTTAATGCACTGTGGGTGTTAGTACACAGTTGCCCATCCCAGGTGTGGATGTTATATTGGGTAATGATGTGGCCATCAATCATGTTGTGGGTGAGACTGATCCCCGTTTGTGTAAACAGCCAGTTGCAGACCATGTTTATTCTGCCTGTGCTGAAGTTAGTTCTATGAATGAACCTGTTGTAGAAGATGGTTTTGTCCATTCTACCTGTGCTGATGTCAGTACTAATATAAATCCAGTTGTCAGTTCTGATGTTGTTACTCAAGCATTTGTTCCAGAAACCAGTACCCCTTCAGTGGAGAAGTGGGATGTGGTTGTTCCAGATTCCTGTGTGGCCGATTTAGTTGTTGAGAGTAAGCCTGATACTATGACTCTGCTTTATTCCAATAAATTGGGAAAGGATGTCCATGTACCATTGTCTTGCCCGCTCACTACGAACGTTGTGCCAGGAGTTGAGAGAAACTTAAAAGCCACGACTCTGTATTCCAGCCAAGTGAATGGTTTAGGACAAGATGTCGGGTTGGCAGAAGTATTCCCGCTCACTCCAAGTTTAGAATCAGTTGTCGAGAGTAAGTCTGTTGTAGAGGCCCCGCCTCACCCTAGTCAAGGTGATATAATAGGGGAGGAGGTCAAACTACCTGTTACTTGCCCGCTCGCTTCAGATTCCCTTCATTTATGTGCATTGAGTAGAACTGACCCTAAGATTTCAGAGAGAAGCAAGGAGACAGTCTGTACTGTAGATCCAGTTTTGGAGAGTGTGGGAAAGCAGTCAGAGGATCAGCTTCTGTTGAGTAGATGGAGACCCATTGAGCCTCCCTCTTCAGTTGTCTGTGAGGATGTGACCCAGCTTGGTAGTGATATTATTGATTGTGAGCAGACAGTACTCCAAGCAGCTCCAGAAGTCATGGGAGGAAATTTTGGTAAAATAATTGAGAGTGGTAAAGTAGCATTTGGATCTAAGTTGCGGAGTTGTGATTATTATTCCATGTGGAGTAAGTATTTCTCATTGTGTAGACCACCTGGACACTTGTTTAGATCTTTGTGGTGCTTTGAAGGGTTATTAAGGTTTCAGTAATAGTCCACTGGTGAACTGGCATATGAACTTTTGTAATCAACAGATATTTTTATATTATTCTCGTATAAATGTTTAATAGTATATTTTGAAGGTATAACATACACTAAGTCTGTGATATTCACGTTTTCTTTCATAAGACCAAGGTTTTCATTGATATCAAATTTCAGGAGATAGTCAAGCATTTATAATTTTACACTTCACATGTTTGAAGATGAATTATAGTGTTTTAACGTGACGCAATGTAACTTTAAAATAACCAAGGATAAGAAATACAAAAAAGAATTGATTATGTTGTAGTGATTATAACATGTAGTGATTAGTGTTGTAGTGAGCATGTTTAGCCCAGCCTCCTGTTTTGGTAGTACTTGTAGTAACGATGACGACCATAGTATATATATATATATACCGAAGTACAACGAAAGTAGAAAGTATAAATCTGAACTATTGAGTTAGACAAACCGGAAAATATTTTTTTACCCGTGTTGCTTTGACAAACTAAACTAACATAACCCAACCTTCCTAGGCCTAATACACAATATAATATCTAAGGCCTAGTGTAGTACATATGTGTGCTATACTAGGCCTAGGAATATTTGTGTTTTTTAGCTTCATGTATTGTAAAATAATTCCTTACTAGTCAATATACTACTACTTAACAGCTAAGAACGTACGAATTAATGACTATTGACGACCGTCACAGTAGGCACTATCTAAAAAGGAGAACGGGTTGGCATGTTGTAGTGATTATAACATGTAGTTATTAGTGTTGTGATGTGCATGTTGTAGTGATTATAACATGTAGTTATTAGTGTTGTGATGTGCATGTTGTAGTGATTATAACATGTAGTTATTAGTGTTGTGATGTGCATGTTGTAGTGATTACCGTGAAAGTGGTAATCACTACAACATTAATTATCGTGCCAAGAAACTTGACTTCCAAAGGAAATACTTTCCCTAGCCGCAAAACTATTAAGAAATTGTTAGAAACAATCAAGAGGCCATACGGAAGATTTCATATTGACTGTTTCCACACACGCTGTCAGCGTGACACAGTTGTCCTCACTCTAAGCTGCCTCACACACACTGTCAGCGTGACACAGTTGTCCTCACTCTAAGCTGCCTCACACACACTGTCAGCGTGACACAGTTGTCCTCACTCTAAGCTGCCTCACACACACAGTCAGCGTGACACAGTTGTCCTCACTCTAAGCTGCCTCACACACACTGTCAGCGTGACACAGTTGTCCTCACTCTAAGCTGCCTCACACACACTGTCAGCGTGACACAGTTGTCCTCACTCTAAGCTGCCTCACACACACTGTCAGCGTGACACAGTTGTCCTCACTCTAAGCTGCCTCACACACACTGTCAGCGTGACACAGTTGTCCTCACTCTAAGCTGCCTCACACACACAGTCAGCGTGACACAGTTGTCCTCACCCTAAGCTGCCTCACACACACAGTCAGCGTGACACAGTTGTCCTCACCCTAAGCTGCCTCACACACACTGTCAGCGTGACACAGTTGTCCTCACTCTAAGCTGCCTCACACACACAGTCAGCGTGACACAGTTGTCCTCACCCTAAGCTGCCTCACACACAGTGTCAGCGTGACACAGTTGTCCTCACTCTAAGCTGCCTCACACACACAGTCAGCGTGACACAGTTGTCCTCACCCTAAGCTGCCTCGCACACACTGTCAGCGTGACACAGTTGTCCTCACTCTAAGCTGCCTCACACACACAGTCAGCGTGACAGTTGTCCTCACCCTGAGCTGCCTCACACACACTGTCAGCGTGACACAGTTGTCCTCACTCTAAGCTGCCTCACACACACACAGTCAGCGTGACACAGTTGTCCTCACTCTAAGCTGCCTCACACACACAGTCAGCGTGACACAGTTGTCCTCACCCTGAGCTGCCTCACACACACTGTCAGCGTGACACAGTTGTCCTCACTCTAAGCTACCTCACACACACTGTCAGCGTGACACAGTTGACCTCACCTTGAGCTGCCTCACACACACAGTCAGCGTGACACAGTTGTCCTCACCCTAAGCTGCCTCACACACACTGTCAGCGTGACACAGTTGTCCTCACTCTAAGCTGCCTCACACACACAGTCAGCATGACACAGTTGACCTCACCTTGAGCTGCCTCACACACACAGTCAGCGTGACACAGTTGTCCTCACCCTAAGCTGCCTCACACACACTATCAGCGTGACACAGTTGTCCTCACTCTAAGCTGCCTCACACACACAGTCAGCGTGACACAGTTGTCCTCACCCTGAGCTGCCTCACACACACTGTCAGCGTGACACAGTTGTCCTCACTCTAAGCTGCCTCACACACACTGTCAGCGTGACACAGTTGTCCTCACCTTGAGCTGCCTCACACACAGTGTCAGCGTGACACAGTTGTCCTCACTCTAAGCTGCCTCACACACACTGTCAGCGTGACACAGTTGTCCTCACTCTAAGCTGCCTCACACACACAGTCAGCGTGACACAGTTGTCCTCACCCTGAGCTGCCTCACACACAGTGTCAGCGTGACACAGTTGTCCTCACTCTAAGCTGCCTCACACACACTGTCAGCGTGACACAGTTGTCCTCACTCTAAGCTGCCTCACACACACAGTCAGCGTGACACAGTTGTCCTCACCCTGAGCTGCCTCACACACACTGTCAGCGTGACACAGTTGTCCTCACTCTAAGCTGCCTCACACACAGTGTCAGCGTGACACAGTTGTCCTCACCCTAAGCTGCCTCACACACACTGTCAGCGTGACACAGTTGTCCTCACCCTGAGCTGCCTCACACACACTGTCAGCGTGACACAGTTGTCCTCACCCTAAGCTACCTCACACACAGTGTCAGCGTGACACAGTTGTCCTCACTCTAAGCTACCTCACACACAGTGTCAGCGTGACACAGTTGTCCTCACCTTGAGCTGCCTCACACACAGTGTCAGCGTGACACAGTTGTCCTCACCCTAAGCTGCCTCACAGACAAACGGGAGGAAAGCATCACAGACACTGTCAGAGAGCTTCATGGAGGTGGTATCAGCAGAGCCGCAGTTCTCTCTGCTATAATAACTGTCCGGTTGACCCTCCGCCCAGTTGACATAGTCCAGAGCAGTTCCGTCCGACCATTCGTAACCTGCAACAATTAATATTAAACAATTTTGATAAAATGTGAACACCATGTTGTTTCGTAGTTGATTTCTCATATATGTGATTATATATTACTTATTGACCAAAATTATTGAATTGTGAGCACATACAATGAGGAAAATTGTGAGTGCTTACATAGTTTGTATATAGTCAGGAATATTAGGACAAGGGTGGTACTGCATTGTGACTCCCCTCCTCCAGCTGGCATGGTCATTCTAACTCACCTACAAGTGCCTCTGGTCATTGTGACTCACCTACAAGTGCCTCTGGTCATTGTGACTCACCTGACTCGGAGCCCAGCCTAAGGCCAACCCACACAGCCTGGTAGGTTGGCTGAAGGTCAATCATGCCTGCCAGCCTGTGGAAACAATCACCGGGAATTACAATCACCACATGAATAGGGCATGCATTATACAACACCTAAATGTATAACCTTTCATCTTGTATTTACTAAAACCAGATTTAAATTATTTTCACCTGTGCCTAGAGCTCCTTATATAAATACGCGCATCTAGGAGTATATGGGATAACAAACAACGTTAATGACTTACATAATTAATATTCAACTCTATACTATGAAGAAAGAGAGCATAAGATTTGTTGGTGTTAACAATTGGAATTAATTTGAAATACCTGTCCTCACACTGAGACACAGTGTCCTCACACTGAGACACAGTGTCCTCACACTGAGACACAGTGTCCTCACACTGAGACGCAGTGTCCTCACACTGAGACACAGTGTCCTCACACTGAGACACAGTGTCCTCACACTGAGACACAGTGTCCTCACACTGAGACACAGTGTCCTCACACTGAGACACAGTGTCCTCACACTGAGACATACTGTTCTCATCACACTGAGACTTCCTCAAAATCACAGGGGGTCGTTCTGTGAGCTGATATTTCTTAAAAGGACGCAATCTGGCCGACTCCGACCAGCCTACGACGGTCACATACCACACACATGTCGTCGTGAAAAGTTGGGTGAGGTTATCTATCCCCAATCTTCTACCCTCCAAACTTTGTACAGACAGACAGACATTCTCTTTTATAGATACTGATAAGTAAACACGGGGACTACTTAATAATGAACAGTTGGTCGACCTCTTCACCAACGCCACCAATAATGAAGGACTTACTGTTGTATGATCGTTTCCTCGTGAGCGCTGCCGACACTAGCGAGGTGACCCCCGACAGACACGCACAGTTCCTCCGCCCGGCCCCACGGCAGTGCCTCCGAGAACACCTGAAACGACGCCATTGATCACCGCCACACCTCACCGATGTATACAGTACATAACATTTAGAGACTAGCGAAGAGGTGTCCTGAGATGGTGCCATGACATGTACGAAGTAAGAACATATATTAAGTCTGAACAAGAGTTTAAGGGTCACCACACAAGGCCTGTTGGTCTGTACTAGGCGAGTCCTGCATCTCTCATGCAGGTGCAGATTGAGACCCTTTTTTTCTACAATCTGACTTAGTATTAAGGGGCCCCTGATGTATCAACCTTTTCTGAATTATCTCTAAAGATTCAACGTCCTTACTGCAATAGAGCGACAAGGTGTCTGGGGGCCTCGGGGCGCCACCAACCAAGACGCTAAAGCTTTACTCACAATTTGATCAACTAATGACTGTAATATTGACGTAGTAATTAGCATCATTGTCTTTCTCCAGGTTAAAGAATTTGCATTTACTTGAATTTACCCGAGAGCCACCATCTCTTCTTAATTCATGACTTCTGCAGAGACAGTGACGTCTTCCCTATTTTTCATGAGAATTTTTTTCAGCTGCATCTTGAACTGAAGTAATGTCTCGACGCTGACAGCTTCAGCTCCTGTTTTTAAGCTTCTTCCTTCGTGTACCATATCCGCGTGGCTTCCAAGAACTTGCTGATGTTACTGTTCTCTCCGGCATCTTGGACGGTGATGCAAACTGTGAAAAGCTGATGGCCCAGCACAGAACCCTGTGGCACACCACTAGGCACATAAACCTATCCCATCTTCACTAATTATTCTGACCCTCTGTTTCTGTCTTTTTGCCATACAATTGTAGGCTATGATTGAAGGGCATTGAAGGATAGCACCTTCCTCCAATGCCAAGTACTTAGACCTTGCTAAGCCGCCTCTCCAGAAGAACCATGTCAGACACCAACTGAGGTCCAGATGGACTGTACATATTTCCTATTATTGTCACCTGTCTCGGATGTGCTTGTGAGAAAATATTTTTTCAGAGTTAAACTATCGACTATAATGCAAATATTGGATTAAAATTAGGAAAGTCGTAAATTCTGAGAAAAAACTGTGATAAAATATGCCAGACAAGAGTGAAGGACCGCACCTCAGAAGCATAAACAATTTGGATAAAATAATGGTTCAATTATGATGACCAAACCACACATCAAAAGATGGAGAAATGACGACGTTTCGCACACGACTTGATAACGGTCCAGGACGGACCGAAATGTCGTCGTTTGTCCATCTACTAATGTGTGGTTTGGTCATCATATCTTCAGCCACGTTATTGTGACTCATCGCTTACAATGGCTAAATTAAGATTTAACCCTTACCAAAGGATTATAATTTCGATCATTTAGATTCATAAAAAATATGATAAAGGATTCATGAAGGTTTCAATATGTAATATGTAAAATGCAATATGTAAATTCAATTAAATATGTAAAAATAAATGCTCTAAAGAATACTTAGCTAACATGAACCAGTAGGCCTATTGGTGTATATATTTACTCTTTGTTCTTAAGTTGACGCAGTAGTGTTTGGGGCTGGACTGAACACAGGTTGGTGAACCAAGTGTCGTTCATACCTGATAGCAGCGGTCGTCTTGGTGACTCCAGCCATAGGCGCAGTAGGCGCCGGGGGACAATGTGGTAGGTACCGGAGGCGAGGTGTACCCGCTGCGGTCATACTCACCTGCAGGAGGAGCAGCAGGAGATGGTATTACAACACATTGTTACCATACATTATGACCACAATGGGTTTGAATACTCATCCCTGTGGCACCCCACTTCTGACCCAACTTTCCCTCCTGCCGCTCCGTCTGGTGCTCTCTCACCCTTTGTTTCCTACCCGTCAGGTGCCTCTCATGCACGAGTATCAAACACTTCATGACTGTCGTGGAAAACCCAGCCACTTCACCCTTCTCGAGCCTATTTTATCTTTGTAATTTTTGTTATGATACTCTAATAGATTCGTTAGACATGATCAACCTTTGATAAAACAATGTTGATGTTTAAAGACAAAACACAATTTTTCTAGGCGTTTGTGTGACCACTTATGGACATGTTCGTGGTATTCCTTAGTCTAAATTTAGTCATATACATATGATTATTTGTAGTGTACATTCTTACATATACATTTGACTTATAATTTGTAACGCTTTCAGTGCTTTTGACTGTGGTGCCTTTTCTAAACATCTTAGAATGGCAAGAATTCTAAATTCTATTAGAAGATATTTAGAATGTTAAGAATTCTATTCTAAGATGTTTAGAATGTTAAGAATTCTATTCTAAGATGTTTAGAATGTTAAGAATTCTATTCTAAGATGTTTAGAATGTTAAGAATTCTTGTTAAAGATGTTTAGAATGTTAAGAATTCTTGTTAAAGATGTTTAGAATTCTTATATTAAATTCTAAAGTATTAAAAACATATTAAAATATTCTAAACAAGTAAATTGCTACTTGTGGAGCACCAGGTAACACACCACATATCCCAATAAACCCGAGATCGATTCCAGGGCAGGGAGAGACGTTTGAACACATTTCCTTAAACCTGATACGACTGTTCACCTTGCAGTAAAAATAATGAGTTATACAACTGTTGATGGTCGCGTTCTAAGAAAGGCCCGTCGTTGGCCTAGTGAGGCTTCCATAGGCCTAATTAACAGTCATCGTTTTGTAACACTCAGCACAATCAATATGCTCAAAATGTTGCTGTAATTATTGGTTTTATAAAACATACAAATAGAATACCTAATAATTAACCAACGTAACCTTGTCGTCTGTGTTTGTATACAAATGAATTATTATTATTATTATTATTATTATTATTATTATTATTATTATTATTATTATTGAGAAATTCCGTAGGAGCCTTGAGGAGGATTCGAACCGATGCTCTGGGAATTCCCAAGTACATGACTTTTACAACAAAACCTCCTCATGACCCATTCTGATTTTGTCATTGATACGTCACGTTAATGTGATTTCTTTGTGCATTATCTTTATTATTACGGGAACCAGACATTGCCTCAAGTCTCTTCTTGGGTAATTGTCGATATTCCACCCTTCCTCCTGTTTAGATAGTAGCTATTGTGACGGTCGTTATTCAACCCTTCCTCTTGTTTAGATAGTAGCTATTGTGACGGTCGATATTCCACCCTTCCTCCTGTTTAGATAGTAGCTATTGTGACGGTCGTTATTCAACCCTTCCTCTTGTTTAGATAGTACCTATTGTGACGGTCGTTATTCAACCCTTCCTCTTGTTTAGATAGTACCTATTGTGACGGTCGTTATTCAACCCTTCCTCTTGTTTAGATAGTACCTATTGTGACGGTCGTTATTCAACCCTTCCTCTTGTTTAGATAGTAGCTATTGTGACGGTCGTTATTCAACCCTTCCTCCTGTTTAGATAGTAGCTATTGTGACGGTCGTTATTCAACCCTTCCTCCTGTTTAGATAGTAGCTATTGTGACGGTCGTTATTCAACCCTTCCTCCTGTTTAGATAGTAGCTATTGTGACGGTCGTTATTCAACCCTTCCTCCTGTTTAGATAGTACCTATTGTGACGGTCGTTATTCAACCCTTCCTCCTGTTTAGATAGTAGCTATTGTGACGGTCGTTATTCAACCCTTCCTCCTGTTTAGATAGTACCTATTGTGACGGTCGATATTCCACCCTTCCTCCTGTTTAGATAGTACCTATTGTGACGGTCGATATTCCACCCTTCCTCCTGTTTAGATAGTAGCTATTGTGACGGTCGTTATTCAACCCTTCCTCCTGTTTAGATAGTACCTATTGTGACGGTCGATATTCCACCCTTCCTCCTGTTTAGATAGTACCTATTGTGACGGTCGATATTCCACCCTTCCTCCTGTTTAGATAGTAGCTATTGTGACGGTCGTTAATAGTCACGAATTCGTACGTACTTAGCTTTTATATAGTAGTATACTGACTAGTAAAGAATTCTATTTAAATAAATGGAGCTAAAAAACAAACTTAAATATTCCTAGGCTTAGTATAGCTCACATATGTACTATAGTAGGCTTCAGATATCGTGTATTAGGCCTAGGGAGGTTAAGTTAGGTTAGTTTAGGTTGTTAAAGCAACACAAGTAAAATAAAAATTCCAGTTTGTCCAAACCAATAGTTTAGAATTCTACTTTCTAATTTCGTTGTACGTCGGTATATTTACTATGGTCACCATCGTTACTATAAGTACTACCAAACCAGGAGGATGAACTGGGATATTGCCCAACATTAAACAAATCCACAAAGGCCGTGACGAGGATTCGAACCTACGTCCGAAATCATCCCAGACGCTGCCTTAATCAACATTTTGTTCACTGATGCATCACGTTACTGTGATTTCTGTGTGTGTTGCCCAACATTGTTGATCTGGTGGCGACGTCCGTCATACATAATCATACAACAGAACAGAGTACAAATGGTACGATAGACAGCGCCTGGAGAAGGTGTGGGAGTACATGATAGTGGTGAGCCTTACAGATATAGCTGTAGGTATCCTCACAGATCCTCACGATTCACAAGCCTGGGTTGGTCTTCTTGCCGGAAGCCACCACGCACGTCCCGTGGCTGACATCTGTGAAGGGGACAGTAGTAAGTCACTCTGATCTTTACTGATGCATATTGAACAATAAAGCCACCTCCCTGATGGATTATAGATTAACTATAGTTCCATTATCCACGTCGGCCCCGCCCAGACACCTTGGAGGCGTGAAGGGGATTTATTGTGCCCTCAACTACATCATTATATCCCATGCAGCTTGTAGATAATATAGTAGTCCCTTATCAATGTCAATACTTCCCAGCCAGCTTGTAGATGATCTACGAGGTTGCCATTCCTTCCCGATAACTTCTGTGGTAACAATTTTTTTTAGTTCATTATCATTTATTTTGTTGAGGGTTCAACGAAACGTTAAGACATTGAAGTTCATAGTTTTAATATTTTTGTGTATGTTTTTTGCATAGTTTTAAACATACATGCAACTAACCTGGCTCAAATTCGTCCCAGTTGGAAAAGTCGACAGGATCGCCATTGACCCAAGTGAAGGAGACGGAGCCATCTTCACCGACGGTGCCTGAGAGACCAGTCCAGACCCAGCTGTCAAGGTCTCCCAGGAAGGCAGCTACGAAAGCATTCTCGTACCTACACGAGAGTTCTGTAGTTGTTGCTGCTATCGCTACGACTATGGCTGGTTCTCTCTCCTTGTCTGCGTTAATTACTGCTAGTTTATATTGCTTCAGAGCTAATAGCTTAAATAAAAATTTTATAAGAAAGTTTAACATACCAAAATATTAATTTTTGTTTTTAGGATTAATCTGGGCCAACTTATTTCATTAAGATCCAACCAGTAGAGATACAATGAAGATATGTGGAAGGCAAGTATACTTATGAGAGTATATAAACTTTCCTGTGGACGAGACCAGGTGAGCCTCGGGAGGCTGATGTCTCAACGAGGACCTCGAGGCTCATTACCCGGTACTCACCTGTCATCACAGACCAGAAGACTCACTCTCCGGTACCCACCTGTCGTCACAGACCAGGAGACTCACTCTCCGGTACTCACCTGTCGTCACAGACCAGAAGACTCACTCTCCGGTACTCACCTGTCGTCACAGACCAGAAGACTCACTCTCCGGTACTCACCTGTCATCACAGACCAGAAGACTCACTCTCCGGTACCCACCTGTCGTCACAGACCAGGAGACTCACTCTCCGGTACTCACCTGTCGTCACAGACCAGAAGACTCACTCTCCGGTACTCACCTGTCGTCACAGACCAGAAGACTCACTCTCCGGTACTCACCTGTCGTCACAGACCAGAAGACTCACTCTCCGGTACTCACCTGTCGTCACAGACCAGAAGACTCACTCTCCGGTACTCACCTGTCGTCACAGACCAGAAGACTCACTCTCCGGTACTCACCTGTCGTCACAGACCAGGAGACTCACTCTCCGGTACTCACCTGTCGTCTATCACCAAAAGGTTCGCTCCCTGAGACTCACAGGCAGACTTGGCCTCACTCCACGACAGCTTCACGTCCAACAGCTTGTAACAGGAAGCTTTATACGCTCCGTCATCCTGTTCAGTTTTAGTTGAATTAGTTCGTATTAATTACTCTCATACCCCCATCCTGTGTACAGTGGAAGACCCCATACCCATCCTGTGTACGGTGAAAGACCCCATACCCATCCTGTGTATGGTGGAAGACCCCAAACCCATCCTGTGTATGGTGGAAGACCCCATACCCATCCTATGTACGGTGGAAGACCCCATACCCATCCTGTGTATGGTGGAAGACCCCATACCCATCCTATGTACGGTGGTAGACCCCATACAGATCCTGTGTACGGTGGAAGACCCCATACCCATCCTGTGTACAGTGGAAGACCCCATACCCTTCCTGTGTACGGTGGAAGACCCCATACCCATCCTGTGTACGGTGGAAGACCCCATACCCATCCTGTGTGCGGTGGAAGACCCCATACCCATCCTGTGTGCGGTGGAAGACCCAATACCAATCCTGTGTACGGTGAAAGACCCCATACTCATCCTGTGTACGGTGGAAGACCCCATACCCTTCCTGTGTATGGTGCAAAACCCCATACCCATCCTGTGTACAGTGGAAGACCCCATACCCATCCTGTGTATGGTGGAAGACCCCCATACCCATCCCTTGTACGGTGGAACACCCCATACCCATCCTGTGTATGGTGGAAGACCCCATACCCATCCCTTGTATGGTGGAAGACCCCATACCCATCCTGTGTATGGTGGAAGACCCCATACCCATCCCTTGTACGGTGGAACACCCCATACCCATCCTGTGTATGGTGGAAGACCCCATACCCATCCCTTGTACGGTGGAAGACCCCATACCCATCCTGTGTATGGTGGAAGACCCCATACCCATCCCTTGTATGGTGGAACACCCCATACCCATCCTGTGTATGGTGGAAGACCCCATACCCATCCTTTGTACGGTGGAACACCCCATACCCATCCTGTGTACAGTGGAAGACCCCATACCCATCCTGTGTACAGTGGAAGACCCCATACCCATCCTGTGTATGGTGGAAGACCCCATACCCATCCCTTGTATGGTGGAACACCCCATACACATCCTGTGTATGGTGGAAGACCCCATACCCATCCCTTGCACGGTGGAACACCCCATACCCATCCTGTGTATGGTGGAAGACCCCATACCCATCCTGTGAATGGTGGAAGACCCCATACCCATCCCTTGTACGGTGGAACACCCCATACCCATCCTGTGTATGGTGGAAGACCCCATACCCATCCCTTGTATGGTGGAACACCCCATACCCATCCTGTGTATGGTGGAAGACCCCATACCCATCCCTTGTATGGTGGAACACCCCATACCCATCCTGTGTACAGTGGAAGACCCCATACTCATCCTGTGTGCGGTGGAAGACGCCATACCCTTCCTGTGTACGGTGGAAGACACCACTACACAGCATTATCACTACACTGGATGATCACTACACTGGCTGATCACTATACTGGCTGATCACTATACTGGCTGATCACTGCACTATCTGATCACTACACTGCATTATCACTACACTGGTTGTTCATTACACTGGCTGATCACTTTAATGGATGATCTCTACACCGGCTTATCACTATCCTGGCTTATCTCTATACTGGCTGATCTCTACACTAGCTGATCACTACACTGGCTGATCACTACACTAGCTGATCTCTGTACTGGCTGATCTCAACACTGGCTGATCACTACACTGGCTGATCTCAACACTGGCTGATCACTACGCTGGTTGATCATTACACTGGCTGATCTCTTCTCTGATTGATCACTACGCTGGCTGATCCCTACACTGGCTGATCACTAGACTTGTTGATCACTACTCAGATCACTAAACTGGCTGATCACTACATTGGCTGACCATTATACTGGCGGATTACTATTCTGGTTGATCACTACTGTGGCTGATCATTCTCCTCGCTCATCACTACAGTGACCGATTGTCACTGTAGTGTTTGATATCAGGTTGATATCTCCACTAGCTGATTACTTCAGTGGCTGATATCTACAGTGGCTGATCACTACACTGGCTGATCACTACTCTAGTTAATCACTACACTGGCTGCATGGTCACTACACTGGCTGATCATTCCCCTCGCTGATCACTACACTGGTTGATCACTACTCAAGTTGATAACTTCACCAGCTGATCACTTCACTAGCGGATCACTACACTGACTGATCACTTCATTGGCTGATCACTGCTCTGGTTTATCACTACAATGGCTAATCCCTACACTGGCTGATCACTACACTAGCTAATCACTTCACTGACTGATCACTGCTCTGGTAAATCACTACACTTGCTAATCCCTACACTGGCTGATCACTACACTGGCTGATCACTACTCTGGTTGATCACTACATTGGCTGATCATTTCACTGGCTGATCACTATTCTGGTGATCACTACACTGCCTGATCATTCCCTTCGCTGATCACTCCCCTGGCTGATCTCTACTTTGGCTGATCACTAAACTGGATGATCACTACAATGGCTGGTCACTTCACTGGCTGATCTGTACACTGGCTGATCTCTACACTGGCTGATCACAATACTGGCTGATCTCTACACTGGCTGATCACTACACTGGCTGATCACTTCACTGGCTGATATCTACACTGGCTGATCTCTACACTGGCTGGTCACTACACTGGCTGGTCACTACACTGGCTGATCTCTATACACAAGCTGATCTATACACTGGCTGATCACTACACTAGTTGATCACTACACTCGCTGATCAGTTCACTGACTGATCTCTACACTGGCTGATCTCTACACTAGCTGATCACTACACAAGTTGATCACCACACTGGCTGATCTCTACACTGGCTGATCTTTACACTGGCTGATCTCTACACTGGCTGATCACTACAATAGTTGATCACTACACTGGTTGATCACTTCACTGGCTGATCTTTACACTTGCTGCTCACAATACCGGCTGATCTCGACACTGTGTGATCTTTACACTGGCTGATCACTTTACTGGCTGATCACTACACTGGCTGATCTCTACACAGGCTGATAACTACAGTGGCTGGTCACTACACTGGCTGATCTCTACACTCTGGCTGATCTATACACTGGCTGATCACTACACTAGTTGATCACTACACTCGCTGATCAGTTCACTGGCTGATCTCTACACTGGCTGATCTTTACACTTGCTGCTCACTACACTGGCTGATCTCTACACTGGCTGATCTCTACACTGGCTGATCACTACACTGGCTGATCACGTCACTGGCTGATCACTTCACTGGCTGATCAGTACACTGGCTGATCTCTACACTGGCTGATCTTTACACTGGCTGGTCACTACACTGACTGATGACTACACTGACTGATCACTACACTGGCTGATCTCTGCTTTGGTGATCTCTACACTAACTGATCACTACTCTGGTTGATCAGTACACTGGTTTAAAACTACACTGGCTGATCTCTACTCTGGTTGATCACTACACTGGCTGAGCACTACACTGGCTGAGCACTACACTGGCTGATCACTACTCTGGCTGATCATTACAATGGCTGATCACTACTCTGGTTGATCAATACACTGCCTGATCATTCCCCTCGCTGATCACTACCCTGGCTGATCTCTACTCTGGTTGATACCTATACTGGCTGATCTCTACACTGGCTGATCTCTATACTGGCTGATCTCTACACTGGGTGATCACTATACTGGCCGATCATGACACTGGTTGATCACTACTCTGGTTGATCACTACACTGGCTGATCACTACACTGGCTGATCTCTACAGTGGTTGATCACTACACTGGCTGATCACTTCTCTGGCTGATCACTAGACTGGCTTATCTCTACGCTGGCTGATCACTACACTGGCTAATCACTTCACTGGTTGATCACTACACTGGCTGATCTCTACGCTGGCTGATCTCTACACTGGTTGATCGCTACACTAGTTGATCACTACACTCGCTGATCACTTCACTGGCTGATCTCTACATTGGCTGATCTCTACACTGGTTGATCACTATACTAGTTGATCACTACACTGGCTGATCTCTGCACTGGCTGATCTTTACACTGGCTGATGTTTACACTGGCTGATCTCTACATTGGCTGATCACTACAATAGTTGATCACTACACTGGTTGATCACTTCACTGGTTGATCTTTACACTGGCTGCTCACTACACTGGCTGATCTCTACACTGGCTGATCTCTACACTGGCTGATCTCTACACTGGCTGATCTCTACACTGGCTAATCTCTACACTGGCTGATCTTTACACTGGCTGCTCACTACATTGGCTGATCTCTACACTGGCTGATCTCTACACTGGCTGATCACTACACTGGCTGCTCACTACACTCGCTGATCTTTACACTGGCTGATCTCTACACTGGCTGATCTCTACACTGGCTGATCTCTACACTGGCAGATCACTACACTGGCTCATCTCTACACTGGCTGGTCGCTACACTGGCTGATAACTTCACTGTCTGATCACTACACTGGCTGACACCACACAGGCTGATCACTACACTGGCTGATCACTACACTGGCTGATCACTACACTGGTTTAAAACTACACTGACTGATCTCTACTCTGGTTGATCACTACACTGGCTGATCTCTACACTGGCATATCTTTACACTGGCTGATCACTACACTGACTGATCACTACACTGGTTGATCACTTCACTGGCTGATCACTACACTGACTGATCACTACTCTGGTTGATCACTACACTGGTTGCTCACTTCTCTGGTTGCTCACTACTCTGGTTGATCACTACACTGGTTGATCACTACACTGGTTGCTCACTTTTCTGGTTGCTCACTACACTGGTTGATCACTACACTGGTTGATCACTACACTGGTTGCTCACTTCTCTGGTTGCTCACTACACTGGTTGATCACTACACTGGTTGCTCACTACTCTGGTTGCTCACTACACTTGTTGCTCACTACACTGGTTGATCACTTCTCTGGTTGCTCACTACACTGGCTGATCACTACACTGGTGTTACGGCCCTCTCGGGACGCAACGGGGTTCTTACTCTGATGTCGTTAGAGGAAGATATATATATCCGACCCCAAGCCAGTAGAGGCTTTCAAGGGATGCGATCCGTGACGCAAGTAACTTAAAGGGAGTATGGAAAGAAAGTTAAGAACTTAATATAATATAATGTTCACCATCACCATTTAAATATATAAAATAATAGAGTACACAAGGGGGAGGGGTATTAACACTTTACAAAGGGGATCATGCACAAACTAGTCTTCTGCTGAAGACTCTTGATTAAGAAGCTAGGTGCTGAGTCCGCGGTGCTTTCTTCGTGGCCTCAAGACGTGTCCTCTGAGAACGCCGAGTCTACCCTGGCCACAGGTCAGCCAAAACACAGGTCCACTGGGGGCACCGTCGTGGAGGCCGTCAACCACACGTCCAGCAGGTCTGCTGGCAGGTACTGAGCCACCAAGGCTGGTACGGCCACTCCACGAACGATAAAAGGGGTACGCCCTAGACAGGAGTCTCGTGTGATATCACCAATCACCCTCCTGTCCTCAATACCCCAGTGGATTATCGTCTCCAACCGTCGGTCCCGGGTAAATCCTTTCACTGCCACTCCATTGGCAGGCTTAACACACCACAGTGTTCTTCCGGGGGGACGACGTCACAATAGCTGCAGTAAACTTCACAGTATGGAGACTGGCTGCCTCGGGTAGACTGACTCAACCTTCAACACAGTGGTCCCAGGTCGGCTCTGTAAACAGACACGTCATCAATAACTGGGACACTAATACACCACACTCACAGGCTAGGGCACAAACACCTGACGTATCCAGTCCATAGATGGCGCTGTCGTCGGAGCACCACCTCACCAGAGGTCAGGAGCGGCGGTGTTGAGTGCTGAACCAGACTGGAAACTGGTCCTCGAGGCCAGTACACGCTGTCCTCACTAGGTGTCGTCGTTCGTTTGGCGGGGGTTTCGGGAGCTGACCCACAGATGGCGTGTTTGTCACTGCTCCAGGCTCGGACGCTGGATCCGGGTTCGTAACAACTGGTTTCTCACTACTCTGGTTGCTCACTACACTGGTTGATCACTACACTGGTTGCTCACTTCTCTGGTTGCTCACTACACTGTCTGATCTTTCCTCTCGCTGATCACTACACTGGCTGATCACTTTACTGACTGATCACAACCCTGGATTATCACAACTCTGGATTACCATAGGCCAGACAATTCACGCATCACAACTAATGATTCATTCTACTGTTTCATAAAAATGTAAACAAAATCCTCTATATTCCATCACATATAATGTATTCCATTAGTGTTCTTACCTCATAGCAGCCGGTCTGGGAGAGAGTGATGGGTGTGGCTTCCTGAGGCTTCTTGCAGACGTAATTATTAAGTATGTTACAGTTATCACGTTCCCATTTTCCTTCAGCATACATGTGAATATATGTACACGAAGGCTCTGAGTTGAAATCTGAAAAATAAAATATTGTTATTTCAACCCATCCTAATGTGAAAGTATTTGTAGTAACGATTTAGTGGGATCATTAGATCATTAAAGTGCATATGAAAATGATGTTTCCAATACTAATGAAAAATCACTGTAAAACGCAAACTCTCAACCCACTCTAATATGAAAGTATATGGTGGGACGTACCAGTGTGTAGTGATGAACACACAGAAAGTTAACCTTTGTAATATTGTATTTGGACACTCCGGATATGTTTTTTATATTTATGTTGCTAATGAGACATTAGCTAAAATAACCTAGACCAAATACATCCTAAGCTTAATCCACACAAAGGCCTAATATAGTGCATACGTGCTATACTAGGCCTAGATTTAAGTGTGGTATTCAGCATTATTTTTTCCCAGACTATAATAATATGTATAAAAAGTGTTATACTGGGGTTCTGTTACTACATATTGATACTTGTAATAACATAGTTTCGAAACGTTCTATCATTTGAGGAGTATTGTTGTGTTGTCCAATCTCTGTGTCATTATAGATTCCCCTGGCATGAAAGAAATTAGAATGTCAGCATAACAGCATCATAGAGTGTCAGCATGAGAGAACTTAGAATGACAGCTTCATAGAGTGCCATCATAACAGAACTTAGAATGATAGCATGACAGCATTTAGAATATCAGCATGATAGCACTTAGAATAACAGAATGACAGCACTTAAAATGAAAGCAATTTGAATGACAGCACAACATCACTTCGATTGAAAGAATGCTAGCACTTACAATTCAAGTATTTAGAATGACAGCACCTAGAATAACAGTATTTAGAATGACAGAATGATCGTATGACAGCACTTAAAATGACAGCACTTAGAATGACAGGGTGACAATACTTAGAATGAAAGCACTTTGAATGTGAATAGAGCAGCATTTAGAATGACAGCAGTCAGAATGACTGCAGTGTTAAAGCCTCCATTCCTTTCCGATGATATTACATCTAGAAAAGGTTGGCCAACTCTACTCTCAATCTCGTAAGTGAACTTTAGCACTGAGCTTCGTTCAGTGCATCCTTAAGCTGCAGCAAGTGCTCAATATCAGGCACCTGCAGGAATTTGTTGTCTACATATCTACAGTATACAGTGAGCTTTAGGCCCATGAAAACAAGGACTTTCTGTTCGACGGTACCCACGTAAAAATTAGCAAATAAGACACCAAGAGGGAACCCCGTAGCGACTCCGTCTACATGCTTATACATGCGCCCATCATGACTCCGAGAATACCATGCTGAAGAGTGTTGGGGCGAGAACACAGTCCTGCTGCACACAGTTTGTCACCAGGAAGGCTTCTGACTCGTCTCCATCGTCCAGTACTTTCGTCATCATAACTGCGCGACAAACGTGGTGAATTTGCCTGGACAGCCAAATTTATCCATTACCTTCCACAAGCCATCTCTGCTGACAGTACTGAAGGCCTTGGTCGGGTCGAAGGTCATGAAGAAGTCACTATGATGCTCTTGGCCTTTTTCTTGGATCTGGCGTCCAGCAAATAACAAATCGACAGTTCCAAATTCTGCGCGGAAGCCCTATTGGCTTTCTGGGAGGAGACCCTGCTCAAGGTGTTGAATGAGACGGTTGAGCAGGATACGAGCCAGGATCTTCCTAGCGATGGACAAAAGTGAAATACCTCGGCAAGACTGCCGGTTGCCTTTCTTCTTGTACATATGAACTATGCTGGGATCTTTTAACTGTTGTGGGACCTCCCCTTCATTACACAAGGACTGGACGAGCTTTGTCAGTGCCAGCATCATGGCTGAGTCTCCTGTTTTGTACACTTCAGCAGAGATTGCATCTGATCCTGGCGCTTTACCACAGGAAAGCTGTTTGATGGCCTTCCTGATATGCTGTCAATCACTATATGTTGTCAACCACTGTTATATATGTTGTCAACTATTGCTATATATGTTGTCAACCACTGCTATATTCACTCTGTACACCACTCCTATATACGTTCTTAACTCACACCTATAAACATTGTAATTCAACTGCACAAGTCTCTGGTGCTTCCCATTTGGACTACTGTACCCAAGCATGGAGACCTCACCTTCAAAAGGACATACAGTATCTACAGTAGATAAATTGTTCTACATATAGTAGAACTAAGTCAACTCTCTTACTCATACATACTACATACGTGAGGATAAGGACTGAAACAAGGAGCAACGGATTCAACCTCAACAAGCCACAGTGTAGCTTGAAGATGCTTGAAAATAGGAGATGCTTTTTTTCATCAACAGGGTTATAATCCCGTGGAACCGCCTACCCGCCAAAGTCATAAATACCAGGACAATATTTCAAAATTCATCTGGAAAAAAATCCTCCGGAGTAATGGGGGACGATTGACAAGCCGGTATATAAATTCAGGTGTATACGTTATAAACCCACTCTTTGGGCTGGAAATAATGTTTAATGTATGATAAAACAGACTTCAGTTCTAGACACAATTGAAACTGTAAACTTGCTCTCAGAAATATTCTCATTCACCAATATTTGCTTAGAGGGGAAAGCTTAAAAAAATTGTTTTAATTCATTTATTTTCGCTATTGTCGATTGATTAAAACTTAAGGGCCAATCTTCTTATACTTACAAAGAGAGTCGAAGGATCCCAATTGGTATATGTGAGAGATGTATCATCACTCCACTGGTACTCTCCAAAGTGGCCAACATCTCACAAGCCAATCCAAACGGATTCATAGAAACCTGCAAACAATTATTTTCTGAAAGTAACAGCGATGTCAGTACACAGTACTATAGAACATTAATTCAAACGTAAATATATTAAATATTTCAATGATATGGTCAACAGACGAATTTGGAGAATATCGTCTTTCATGTATGTAATGGTCGTAACTGATGTCCAAGGGAAGTCTCAGGATATCAGTTAATGACCGGTTGATAAGTGGGTAACTGATGTTCTAATTATCGTCTATGCAGGACGTAAAGATGTTCTAATTATCGTCAATGCAGGTCGTAATTTATGTTCCAATTATCATCTGCAGGTCGTAATTAATGTTCCAATTATTGTCTATGCAGGTCGTAAAGATGTTCTAATTATCGTCTATGCAAGTCGTAAAGATGTTCTAATTATCGTCTATGCAGGTCGTAAAGATGTTCTAATTATCGTCTATGCAAGTCGTAAAGATGTTCTAATTATCGTCTATGCAGGTCGTAAAGATGTTCTAATTATCGTCTATGCAGGTCGTAATTTATGTTCCAATTATCATCTGCAGGTCGTAATTGATGTTCTAATTATCATCTGCAGGTCATAATTAATGTTCCAATTATTGTCTATGCAGGTCGTAAAGATGTTCCAATTATCGTCTATGCAGGTCGTAATTGATGTTCCAATTAAGGTATATGCAGGTCGTAACTGATGTTCCAATTAAGATCTATGCAGGTCATAATTGATGTTCCAATTATCGTCTATGCAGGTCATAATTGATGTTCCAATTATCGTCTATGCAGGTCGTAATTGATGTTCCAAGGATCATCTATGCAGGTCGTAACTAACATTCCAAGGACAGTCTATATTAGTCGTAACTAACATTCAAATGGACGACTATCCTGTGGTCGAAACTTTTTTTCTATGTTATGGAAAGTGTCGTGGTTGTAAAAAATTTAATTTGAACTCATTTGTGACAACTTTCAATGCATTACTGTTTCGCTACTAAAAAAAAAAACTTAGGTAAGTTCCATCATCTTAGTTCATTCACAAAACAATAAAGACTATGAATAAAGCGGATATAAATTAAGAATATAATTAAATATAAATAAATAAAGAATAAAGAGCTACCAAGAACGTGAGAAACACGTACTGTAAGTGCTGAGAAAAGAATATATAAAGTCCGCTTCTTCTGCCGTGTGGATGGAGGCGAGGTTCCCTCCCAGGCCCTGACACGCCACCCGGGCATCGCTGTAACTCAGGTAGTTTGAGTAGTCGCCGTAAGTATACATGTAGCAGTAGCCGTTGAAGTTGGTCCAGCCATCTTCACAGCCGACCGTGTGTGCTGGGGGCGTGACATCACAGTTAGATGGTCTTACACGGCACGAACGTTATCAGGAGAGAGCGCTAAGCCATTTAACACTGTATAGCCATTGGAAGGGATGTGACGATAAGGATTACAGTGTAGGACGAGGGAGGGAAATTGGTCCCCAACCACTTAGGTGGTTGGGGACCAATTGAATGCCGACCTGCAAGAATAGAGACCGTCGCTCTACACTGGGTAAGTGTTAGTGTAAGTGTACTCACCTAAACTGTCATACATGACTGACAGTTATCATGATCCCTGATAGCATCATGGCCTATATCCTGCCTAGGAGAATTCTGCATTCAAGCATGCTGTTGACTGAAACCGGATGTACAGCAGTGTAAATCGAAGTTATTTGGAAGAGAAGGCATGATATGGCACTGAGCAACATTTTTGGTGGAAAGAAAGATGGCGACGATGGGAGACATTCTCAAGGAGGAAGGAGCTGGATGATGTCATCACTGACCAATGAGGGAGGAGCTGGATGATGTCATCACTGACCAATGAGGGAGGAGCTGGATGATGTCATCACTGACCAATTAGGGAGGAGCAAGGCCGTGATGTGATACGAGCTAGGGCTCTGTGATTGGTTATGACGTCATTTGCGAGTGTAAAGTCGGAGGGGTCACACGTTACTCGTCGCTACTCCCAAATTTAAGATATAGTTCTACATAAGGGAAGCTGTGACAGAGACAATTTCTGTCAAGGAATGAGTCTGGTGTCCACTGTGGAACCTATTATAGGTTTTGTATGACCCAGGTGAGGGATGTGACAAGTAAAGCAAGGTTGTTGCCTGAGTCTGACCGCCACACGCAAGTCAGGAAGAAAAATTTTGATGACCAGTCAGACATTGTGTTGCTAGCCTGGTGAGGATTCGTCAGAGGGAGATCCACCCTTGAGTAAAATGGGGTGATCCACCAGGAACCGTTTGTTATCTATAGTCAGCCCGTCCTCATAAACAAAGGCCAAAGTCCATTTCAAGCACCCGACAAACACCTGTTTATGAATGAAAAACGGTTTACACACGACTCCCAACTGATGACGTTCGAACATTTCTCGAGCAGTGCTTCGCTGACGTCTTCTGTTTGAATCACAATTCTATAAACAGCCCGTCCTCCAAACAAAGACTCAAAAGTGATTCCATGCACCCCCCAAACCCCTTGTTTATGAATGAAAAACGATTCACACACAACTCAACTGATTTCGTTCTGACACTTCTGGAACAAGTGCTTCACTGACGAATTTTGTTCAAACCACAAAGCTATGAATGCTTAATCCACGTACCAATATTACAAATTATCGCCAACAGAACCTAAACACCTAACCTATGCCTATATATGCACAATATATATATATATATATTTATATCTATATAAATAGAATGTAAATGTTCGTTTGTTCAAAATCGCTAATCTGCGAAAGTTCTTCACTGATTGATTTGAAATCTTCACACAACGTTTCATTCGCATCCGAGCAGGTTTTTATATAAACACTATATAGATGTCACGTCTGTGGCGGGAAATACATGCTTTTTTTCAAAAAACTGTGTTTTTCATGTTTTTTTCATGTGAGGAAAATCTTCGAAACCTCTTTACCGATTGCTTTGAAATTTTGACACAACGATGCATTCGAATAGGCGCGTGTTTTTATATGCCTACTATATACATACCTCCCCTGTGACATTTTTTTTTTTTTTTTTAGATATATACAAGAGTTGTTACATTCTTGTACAGCCACTAGTACGCGTAGCGTTTCGGGCAGGTCCCTGGAATACGATCCCCTGCCGCGAAGAATCGTTTTTTCATCCAAGTACACATTTTACTGTTGCGTTAAACAGAGGCTACAGTTAAGGAATTGCGCCCAGTAAATCCTCCCCGGCCAGGATACGAACCCATGACATAGCGCTCGCGGAACGCCAGGCAAGTGTCTTACCACTACACCACGGAGACATTAAAAAACATTTTTTTTTTAAAAACAGCACAATCTGTTGGATGAAAGAGCAACACACGCTGTAATCTCCAAAAGTTCTTCACCGATTGCTTTAAAATTTTGACACAAGGTTCCATTCGAATACGTGCATGTTTTTATATACCTACTATATAGATGTCACATCTGTGACAGGTAAAAATCATTCTTATTTTATGAAACAGCGCCATCTGTTGCACGTAATATCAACACACGCTATACTAAATGTGTTAAGACATTTCAATGTTTTTGATTGCATTGATAAATTGAATTTTCTTGGATTTTGATTTATTTTTATTTTTATTTAATTATTTTGTGTGACATTGCATTGGAATTGAGCTGTGTTGTTTACCATACCGGGATGGGTAATGGTGGGGAGGATGACGGGACGAGGGAGTTGGGGAGGGTGGGAACGAGGGGACATGAGAATGGAGATTGGTGGGGACAACAAGGGGACAGGAGAGTGGGGGATGAGGGGACAGGAGAGGGGGGAATGGCAGGGAGGATGAGGGGACGGTGGAGTGGGGAATGGTTAGGAGGACTAGGGGACACTAGAGTGGGTGATGGTGGGGAGGATAAAAGGATGGGTGAGGGAAAGAATGGAGGGATGGAAAAGGGGACGGAGTAAGTGGAGAATGGCTGAGAAACAAGGGGGATGGGGGAGTGAGGAATGGTTGGGAGGACGAGGGGACAGGGAAGGGGAAATTGGTGGGAGGACTGGGAGACAGGGGAAGATTGCTGTGGCTCAGCAACGCACATGCGTTGCTGAGCCACAGCAACTCGTTGCCGGGTACAGCTAGTTACATTATATTTGCTTGGGTTAAACTCTAACAACCATTCCTGCAGCTTATCCAGGTCTTCTTGAAGCCTCAAGCTGTCCTCCTCTGTCTTAATCCTTCTCATAATTTTGGCGTCGTCAGCAAACATTGAGAGGAATGAGTCTATACCCTCCGGGAGATCATTTACGTATATCAGAAACAGGATAGGTCAGAGTACAGAGCCCTGTGGGGCTCCACTGGTGACTTGACGCCAATCTGAGGTCTCACCCCTCACTGTAACTCTTTACTTCCTATTGCTTAGGAGCTCCCTTATCCACTGGAGCACCCTACCAGTTACTCCTGTCTGTTTCTCCAGCTGTGGTACTGATAGGAGGTACTCTGCCTCTTATCAGCCTCTTATAGGGTACTGTGTCAAAGGCTTTCCTACATTCCAAGAAAATGCAGTCCGCCTATCCTTCTCTTTCTTGCTTAATCTTTGTCACCTGATTTTAGAATTCTATTAAGCCTGTAAGGCAAGATTTACCCTCCCTGAACCCATGTTGATGGGTTGTCACGAAGTCCCTTCTCTCCAGATGTGTTACTAGATTTTTTTCTCAAGATTTTCTCCATCACCTTGCATGGTGTACAAGTTAAGGACACTGGCCTGTAATTCAGTGCCTCTTGTCTGTCACCCTTTTTGTATATTGGGACTACATTATCCGTCTTCTATATTTCTGGTAGGTCTCCCATCTCCAGTGACCTACTATACACTATGGAGAGTGGCAAGCAACGTGCTCCTGCACACTCTTTCAATACCCATGGTGAGATTCTGTTCGGGCCAACAGCCTTTCTCACGTCCAGATCCAACAGATGCCTCTTGACCTCATCTCTTGTAATTTTGAACCGTTCCAAGGCCGCCTGGTTTACTAACTCCTCTCCTAGCACAGTGACCTCACCTTGTTCTATTGTGAAGACCTGGAACTTCTTGTTGAGTTCTTCACACACCTCTTTGTCATTCTCTGTGTACCTGTCCTCACCGGTTCTAAGTTTCGTCACCTGTTCTTTCACTGTTGTTTTCCTCCTGATGTGATGTGACTGTGGAGTAACTTTCGTTCGGTCTTGGCTTTATTACCTTCATCATTTTCATACTTTTCTCGGCTTCTCTTCTCACACTAACATACACGTTCCATGTTCTCTGGTATTTCTCTCTGCTTTCTGGTGTTCTGCTATTTCTGAAGTTCCTCCACGCCCTTTTCATCAGTTCCTTTGCTTTTATACATGTCCTCTTAAACCATGGGCCAACAAACCTGTTTACTGCCCCTCTGACACTATTGGGTGACATAGTCCATCATATCTTGTACAGACTTAGTTCTGAGTTCTGTGTCCCAGAGTATATTCCTTAGGAATTTTCTCATCTCCTCATAATTTCCCTTTTGGTATGCAGGCCCTTTGTTACCCAGTTCTTTTTGGGGAAGATAATTCGTAGCTCTACCGGGTACTCAAAGATCAATAAATACACTGTGATCACTCATTCCCAAGGGGGCTTCCAACTTAACATCCCATATATCCGACTCATTTAAGGTAAATATCAGATCAAGCATTGCTGGTTCGTCCTCTCCTCTCATTCTTGTCGGTCCCTTGATGTGTTGGCTTAGAAAGTTTCTTGTTGCCACGTCCAGCACGTTAGCTCTCCATGTATTCGGTCCTCCATGTGGGTCTCTGTTCTCCCAATCTATCTTTCCATGGTTCAAGTCTCCCATAATTAGTAGTCTGAATCCGTTCCTGCTAGCGACAGAAGCTGCTCTCTCTATAATATTAATGGTGGCCATGTTGTTTCTATTATATTCCTATCTGGGTCTTCTAACGTTTGGTGGGGGTTATATATGACTACTTCTACTATTATAATTTTTTGTCCTCCAATTGCTATAGTACCTGTCATGCAGTCACTCAAATCTTCACAGCCCTGAATAACCATTTCTTCAAAACTCCTGCCTTTTCTTATCAGCAGAGCTACACCACCTCCTCTTCCTTCTCTCTCTTTCCTCACTACATAGCAGTCCTGTGGAAACCCTGCATTTGTTATGGTTTTCGTTAGATTTGCTTCTGTGAGCGCTATTATGTTTGGGTTTTCATCTAGTGCCCATTCTTCAAGTTCACTTCTTTCATATGTAATCCCATCTATGTTAGTGCACATTGTCTTGAAGCTCACTTTCTTCTGTTCATTCTCTTGTCCCCTTCTTGGTGAGCGTTCTGCTGATGGAGGAAACTGTTCCATAGATGTGAAGATCTGTGAGGTGGTTAACAGGGTCACATAAGATTCTGGGGTAGGGGGTGGGGGAGTCAAGGGAAGAGGGGGACAGGTAGGGTATGGGGTAAGGAGGTATGAAGAACATGGAGGATATGGGGGGAGGAGGGATGAAGGGGGAGGGGGAAAGGAAGGGAAAAGGAAAGGGGGAGGGATGACATTGTGGGAATGTGGGAGGGGTGACAGGGTCGGTAAGGGGTGAGGGGAAAGTGAGCATTTGAGTGGGGGCAGGTAGGGTGAGGGGAAGGGAGGGTTTCTATGCAGAGGGGGTGGTGGTGTTGCCCTCCCCTCTGGTGTTGCTGGGATGCTGGTATTGGGTCCCCCCCCCCTTGCCTCTGGGAATGTTGTGTTGGGGGACTGTGATTTCCTGGTTTAATTCTCTCTCCCTGTGCTTCTTCCTTGCCTCTGTTGCCATGCCTGTCTCCTCCTTCGTCCTGTCCCTCTGGAGGAATACAATTTTATATTCTTCCACATACTGCAGATGGCTCTCCCTTTCTAGAATATCCTCCTTTGCGGCATCGTTTGCAAACACTATCTTTACCTGGCAGTCTCGGTACTTGTTGTACCAGCCCACCCTGAAAACCTTCTCAATGTTTTTTTCAGCCCCTTCCTTCTTTAACCCCTTTAGTATTCCATTCACTGCCTCTGTCCTTACTATTCCATTCTTGCCTATTGGAGCCTTCCTCTTCTTTGATGCCCACAGCTACCACTGATCTTTTTCTTTCCAGCAGCTGACTGGTGCATCTTGCTGCTTCCTGTGAGGTAGCTGCTTGCATGGCTACCTTCCTCACTGTGGCCATTGTTTTTTAGCTCTTTTTCAGTATTTCTGCAAATGTTTCATGCACAGAGGCATTCCCTTCCAGTGAACCATTTCCATCTCCCCTTTGGATGGTTATCTGATTCTCAGTCTCAGTATTTTTCTCTGTGAAGGTTTTAATCTCTTGTTGTTGTCAGCTCACTTTGCAGGTTGTTTATTTTATTCTTTATTTCATGCATCTCTTTCCTGATTTCCTCCCAAACTTGGGCTAACATTTCCTTCATTAGGTCATTTTGACTTTTCCCTTTGCCCTTGGTGCGTCCTCCTGCTATTTTTGTTCCTTTCCCTAATATGTTTTGATATGGTTAGCCAGGGGAGGGGGCAGAGAGGAAGAGAAAGAGGAAGAGGAAAAGAAAGAAAGAAAGACAGAGAGAGAGAGAGAGGGGGGGGAGGGAGGACAAGAGGGAGAGGGAGGGCAAAAGAGAGAGGAGGAGAGGGAGGGCAAGAGGGAGAGGGAGGGCAAGAGAGAGAGGGAGGGAGGGAGGGCAAACAAGAGAGAGAGAGAGGGAGGGAGGGAGGGCCTGAGAGAGAGAGAGAGAGGGACGGCAATAGAGAAAGAGAGAGGGAGGGCAAGAGAGAGAGAGAGAGAGGGAGGGCAAGAGAGAAAGAGAGAGGGAGGGCAAGAGAGAGAGGGAGGGCAAGAGAAAGAGAGAGGGCAAGAGAGAGGGCAAGAGAGAGGGAGAGGGCGAGTGAAAGGGAGAGGGCGAGAGGGCGAGAGAGGGGGAGAGAAAGAGAGAAAGAGAGAGTGACAGGCAGAGACAGAGAGGGCGAGAGAGAGAGAGGGAGAGGGGTGGGGGCGGAGGGAGATAGTATGTTACTCAGGAAGCCAGTTGACGTGCAGGAGGGAAGGGGGGGGGCGGTGTTTTTGGAGAGTGTGGGAGTGGGAAGGGAAGGTCTGGTGCCCTACCCTTCTTGCAGATGTGTGACTAGTTTCCTACCCTGACTGCTTGTGTGTGTGTAGGGATTAACAATATCCAGTTCCCAAGTGAGCTCAGGAGTGAGGTTCCTGCCTCCTCTATCAAGATTACTATTCTATTATTGAATGAAATGCATTATATGTGACTACTATATGATATTATATAAACCTTGCACACTGCTAAAGACTTCAGAAAGAGGCATTTACCTGTCACCACCCACAAGCACAGCCAGGCAAGTATCACAAACAGGGGTACCTATTTGCTGCTAGGTAACAGTGGCATTCAGGGTGAAAGAAACTTTGCCCATTTGTTTCTGCCTGGTGCGGGAATCGAACCCGCGCCACAGAATTACGAGTCCTGCGCGCTATCCACCAGGCTACCAGGCACACAGTGTGTGTGTATGTGTGTGTGTGTGTGTGTGTGTGTGTGTGTGTGTGTGTGTGTGTGTGTGTGTGTGTGTGTGTGTGTGTGTGTGTGTGTGTGTAAAGGCAGTTCAATTTATTTGATATGTGAAATGTAGGTGAGGCTACAGCCTGGACTCTGGAAGTGAGTTGAGAACCCCATCCAAGGTATTATTTTTTATTTATTATATTTCTTTGTGTTAAATGTTTGCTTGTTTGAAGATTTGTTTCCCCTTATCAATGTGAGATTTTTAAAAGATGATCACGTTGTCCTGCTTAATTATTAATTAGGAGAGAGCCTGGATTCACCTGGATTATCTTACATGCCTGGGCAGGGGAAGATAGGCAAGATATATAATGGGTAAATGTACTCACCCAGATTGTCTGACATGGCTGAGGAGGGAATATAAGAAGTAATTATCTTCTGCAGTGTGTGTGGATAGTGTACTACTCATCTTGAGTGTCTTGCAGTGGTAAAGCTTCAGCTCCTGCATCAGCTTCAGTTCATTTATTTTTTTTACTGTTCCGATACAGAGATAATGCTTTCTCTTATTATGTAGGGTTTTAAACCCCTTCCATTCAATATGCGCCCCTTAGTCGGGTACCACCCTTACTAAATAGTCTGTCCTTGCTTATCTTGTATTATGTATTTGGTGATCATGTCTTCCCATGACCGATCTTCCAGGAACACTAGTCTTTACTTATTAATGTTTTTCCTTGTTACTTATACACTAGGCTCTGGGATCAGTCTGGTGATATACCTGTGAAGAAATGTGATCTTTGTGTTGCCACTTATTCCAGCTATGGTGTGACATGTGTGGTATACAGCCCATCCTCCTGTTTAGATAGTACTTATAGCAACGATGGGCACCATCGTACGTATATTGACGTAATGGACAATTACGCCAATATACGTACGATGGTCCACCTCTTGTACCTATTTTCTTATCTCTTGCATTTTTATTCCTGTACTTTGTACCTTAACACTTGTAAGTTTTTCTTCCTGACACTTTTGGAGAAATCACAGGTCGTTGTCATTTATTCATTGGCATTTTATTCATTTCAATGAATCCATTTTATTTAAAAAAAATTCATTTTAAAAAAATACATATACATTTTTATCTATAAAAATCCATTTTATTTATTCAATGGCATTTAAATGCCATTGTCATTTATTCTCTTCGTCTTGTACCAGAATAAATTTATCATTTTTGCCATAAATTTTCATTTCGAAATTCCACATCTTGTGGGATCTTCCTATAAATTTCCATTTCTATATGCCAGTAGTTTTCCCTGCTGGAGTGAGTGTACTCACCTAGTTGCGCTTGAGGGGGTTGAGCTTCAACTGTCAATCAACGTATACATGTTCCTGAGCTTATTGGGCTCCATCATATCTACGTTTGAAACTGTTTATGGAGTCAATCTCCATCTCAGTTGCCTAGTGCATTCCATCTGTTAACTACTCTGACTAATGTCTCTGTGTCTCATTTGGGTACTCAGTTTTCACCTGTGTTCTCTTGTTCGTGTTCTGCCCCTGATTAATAGTTTGTCTTTGTCCACCCTATCAATTCCTCTGAGAATTTTGTAGGTGATCACGTCTCCCTTAACTCTTCTGTTTTCCAGGGACGTGAGGTTCAGTTCCCGTAACTTTCCAATGTAACTCATATCTCTCAGTTGTGGGACTAGTCTGGTGGCAATCCCCTGAATCTTCTCTAACTCTGTCTTGTGATTAACTAGGTACAGACTCCAGGCTAGAGCTGCATACTCCAGGATTGGTCTGATATATGTGGCATGTGTGTTTATGTGTGTGTTTGTGGCTGGTTTGTAGGCACAAACCATGTGGTTGGTTTGTAACCAACCACTTGGGATGGACGGTAGAGCGACAGTCTCGCTTCATGCAAGTCGGCGTTCAATTCCCGACCGTCCAAGTGGTTGGGCACCATTCTTTTCTCTAGTCCCATCCGAAATCCTTATCCTGACCCCTTCCCAGTGCTATATGTAGGCACTTTCCCCTGATAATTCCCTTCCCCTTGTGTGTTTTTGTTTCTTGTATGTGTTTGTTTCCGTACTATAGTAGTAAGACAGACATCCTCAACTTACTTGGGAATAATTCGCAGCCGAAAGCCCTGGATTCAGTACATGCCAAGTTGTTCCACTTGCCATGGCTGGGGTCATTAGGGTAGTCGATGATCTCTGTGCACCACTCATTGTCCATAGCGTTGGGTTCACCCGTGTTCCAGTTGGTGTAGTTGTTGAGCTGGCCGTCGCTCCAGCCCCACTGAGCGCTGGTGTCCTCATACTTCAGCCCCAGCCACGTGGCGTCGCTCATGTGCCTCAACAGCTCTGTGGAGGGCTCCCTGGGGTTACATTACTCGCCAAGCCTAGCACCTTCACGTTATGAAAGGTGTTACAAATGTCTCACACCTGTGTCTTGAGACCATGTGTACGGACGTGACTCTCTCAGGTAGAGATCAAAAGTGATTATTATTTTACCCAAGAACATTTTCCTACTGAATTTACCAATAAACGTACGCTGCAGGTGCATTATAAATACAAATTATCATTTGTAATAAGAGATATATTGATCATAAACTAATCAATGAACATAGCATCCATAGACATAATCGCATAATATAATTGGCTTGAGTGATTAGTGAAAGACAATAATTACCTGTGAAAAATGAGTTTTCGTCATCTGAGTGAATACTGACGAGGTCTGCCTCCATGTTGAACCCTTGACACTTGTCACGTGCCTCTTGCCAAGTCATCTCGTAGTCGCTGGCGAAGTAACACTTTTTCTTCTCATATGTCCAGGTCTGTGGGCAAGTTTCTGGAAGAGGGGAGATTGTGTCCAGCTTCAGCTCTACCATCACTACATACACAATTGTTCAAGGGAGATTGTGTCCAGCTTCAGCTCTACCATCACTACATACATAATTGTTCAAGGGAGATTGTGTTCAGCATCAGCTCTACCATCACTACATACACAATTGTTCAAGGGAGATTGTGTTCAGCATCAGCTCTAATATCACCATATTCAGAGCCAACTAACCTTTCAACCAACTAAACTTTCCTGGTTTAATTTTCATTCAGCATTTTTTCTAGCTTTAGGTTTTATATATCTAATAAATTATTAGATGGAAATATTAAAAGTTTATTTATTAAATAATATATACTAAAAATAAACAACAATAAAACACAATACTTAATAAAACTACTCACATTTTACAGTTTAGATCACATAAAAATCACGCAATAATCGTTACAAAACTAGACTAATTATCATTACACAGACTAATAATACAATTACTGTTAAATGAGTGAGTGAACTTACTGACGTTAATCTTGCAGACGTAATAATTGAGCTGTGAGCACGGCAAGTCGTTCCACGTGTACCAGTAGTCTGACCTCTTCTGTTGAGGGGAGGAGAAAATCACTTGTTAACTAATCGTTCTGCAGTTGTTACCACACAGTTATCGTGAACCTTAAAGTCAAAATTGATCTCTGTAATTATGAGAAACTGTATTGATTGTTTTGTATCGGATTCCTATACAACTGTATTGTATAGGAATCCGAATCAGTTAATGGTCCAAAGGTGCGATATATAGTGCAGACATTCCTGAATTTACCTGAGGGACCACCAGCTCCAGTGGCCTCGACGGGGACAGGAAGTCGGCGCTTTGTCAAAAGTCCTCCAATAGTTATTAAGGATGTTTTTCAGCTGAATTTTAAACTAAATTTAAGTCTTGATAGTTACGGGTTCGGCGGATAGGCGGCTCCATGGGTTTATGGAACTGTGGTTGAAAAAACAGCTCTTGTTTCTTGACCAACATTGTAGTGTCGGAAATTTCCGACACCCCAAATACTAACCCCTAGTACAGTTTGATAAATTTATTGTACTATGAAATAAAATTTACTAACATTACTAACAAGTAGCCTAAAGCAGCCAAATTCCCTCTAATATCGATGCCTCTATTGCATCAGCCGTGCAGCTCCCACGAAAATAAACTATATATATATATATATATATATATATATATATATATATATATATATATATATATATATATATATATATATATATATATATATATATATATATATTAGTATATTTTGGTAGCAGTCTTTCCTGTAGACATATATTATTAAATATGACCGAAAAAGTAAGATTAATAATTCTAACACGAATTTTCTCAATCTTTCGTACATTACGCTTCACTGTTGGAGGTAAATCAAAATCACTTCTCCAAAATTCATTTTTATTTCTAGTCTGACGCGACACGGGCGCGTTTCGTAAAACTTATTACATTTTCAAAGACTTCACAAATACACAACTGATTAGAACGTATCTCTGATTTTATATCTACATTTGAGTGAGGTGGGAAGGGTGATGTGGCATTAACACAAGACAGAACAGGAGGGGATATTAATAGGGTATTAAAAGTATCAACACAAGACAGAACAGAAACAATGGGTATTGAATAGAAGTGTTTGTAGAAAGCCTATTGGTCCATATTTCTTGATGCTTCTATATTGGAGCGGAGTCTTGAGGTGGGTAGAATATAGTTGTGCAATAATTGGCTGTTGATTGCTGGTGTTGACTTCTTGATGTGTAGTGCCTCGCAAACGTCAAGCCGCCTGCTATCGCTGTATCTATCGATGATTTCTGTGTTGTTTACAAGGATTTCTAGTAATCCTAGTAAACAACACAGAAATCATCGATAGATACAGCGATAGCAGGCGGCTTGACGTTTGCGAGGCACTACACATCAAGAAGTCAACACCAGCAATCAACAGCCAATTATTGCACAACTATATTCTACCCACCTCAAGACTCCGCTCCAATATAGAAGCATCAAGAAATATGGACCAATAGGCTTTCTACAAACACTTCTATTCAATACCCATTGTTTCTGTTCTGTCTTGTGTTGATACTTTTAATACCCTATTAATATCCCCTCCTGTTCAGTCTTGTGTTAATGCCACATCACCCTTCCCACCTCACTCAAATGTAGATATAAAATCAGAGATACGTTCTAATCAGTTGTGTATTTGTGAAGTCTTTGAAAATGTAATAAGTTTTACGAAACGCGCCCGTGTCGCGTCAGACTAGAAATAAAAATGAATTTTGGAGAAGTGATTTTTGATTTACCTCCAACAGTGAAGCGTAATGTACGAAAGATTGAGAAAATTCGTGTTAGAATTATTAATCTTACTTTTTCGGTCATATTTAATAATATATATATATATATATATGTGTGAGAAAGCTCAGTGCTGGCCCGTGCATGCCCGACGACACTGTACCCAAATGGATCCATGAGTTGCAGTTTTTCATCAAATTCTGGCGCATGCGTGTCTAACATGCGCCAGAATTTGATGAAAAACTGTACCCAAATGGATCCATGAGTGTCGTCGGGGGTTGGTCAGTCAGGGAGCTTAGTTAATAAGCGCCAAGACTGACCAATCCTTATAGACGATCATTGGTGCGGTGGTCACGGTACTGTGTACGTTTAGGGGTGATCCTGGACGGCATGGGTTCGAATCCTGGCCGGGTCAAAGAGTTCTTAGTGATATATGGCTTGCGCGTTCATGCAGCTTTCTCACACATGTTAGACTCAGTGCGGCCCGTGCATGCGCCAGAATTTGATGAAAAACTGTACCCAAATGGATCCATGAGTGTCGTCGGGGGTTGGTCAGTCAGGGAGCTTAGTTAATAAGCGCCAAGACTGACCAATCCTTATAGACGATCATTGGTGCGGTGGTCACGGTACTGTGTACGTTTAGGGGTGATCCTGGACGGCATGGGTTCGAATCCTGGCCGGGTCAAAGAGTTCTTAGTGATATATGGCTTGCGCGTTCATGCAGCTTTCTCACACATGTTAGACTCAGTGCGGCCCGTGCATGCGCCAGAATTTGATGAAAAACTGTACCCAAATGGATCCATGAGTGTCGTCGGGGGTTGGTCAGTCAGGGAGCTTAGTTAATAAGCGCCAAGACTGACCAATCCTTATAGACGATCATTGGTGCGGTGGTCACGGTACTGTGTACGTTTAGGGGTGATCCTGGACGGCATGGGTTCGAATCCTGGCCGGGTCAAAGAGTTCTTAGTGATATATGGCTTGCGCGTTCATGCAGCTTTCTCACACATGTTAGACTCAGTGCGGCCCGTGCATGCGCCAGAATTTGATGAAAAACTGTACCCAAATGGATCCATGAGTGTCGTCGGGGGTTGGTCAGTCAGGGAGCTTAGTTAATAAGCGCCAAGACTGACCAATCCTTATAGACGATCATTGGTGCGGTGGTCACGGTACTGTGTACGTTTAGGGGTGATCCTGGACGGCATGGGTTCGAATCCTGGCCGGGTCAAAGAGTTCTTAGTGATATATGGCTTGCGCGTTCATGCAGCTTTCTCACACATGTTAGACTCAGTGCGGCCCGTGCATGCGCCAGAATTTGATGAAAAACTGTACCCAAATGGATCCATGAGTGTCGTCGGGGGTTGGTCAGTCAGGGAGCTTAGTTAATAAGCGCCAAGACTGACCAATCCTTATAGACGATCATTGGTGCGGTGGTCACGGTACTGTGTACGTTTAGGGGTGATCCTGGACGGCATGGGTTCGAATCCTGGCCGGGTCAAAGAGTTCTTAGTGATATATGGCTTGCGCGTTCATGCAGCTTTCTCACACATGTTAGACTCAGTGCGGCCCGTGCATGCGCCAGAATTTGATGAAAAACTGTACCCAAATGGATCCATGAGTGTCGTCGGGGGTTGGTCAGTCAGGGAGCTTAGTTAATAAGCGCCAAGACTGACCAATCCTTATAGACGATCATTGGTGCGGTGGTCACGGTACTGTGTACGTTTAGGGGTGATCCTGGACGGCATGGGTTCGAATCCTGGCCGGGTCAAAGAGTTCTTAGTGATATATGGCTTGCGCGTTCATGCAGCTTTCTCACACATGTTAGACTCAGTGCGGCCCGTGCATGCGCCAGAATTTGATGAAAAACTGTACCCAAATGGATCCATGAGTGTCGTCGGGGGTTGGTCAGTCAGGGAGCTTAGTTAATAAGCGCCAAGACTGACCAATCCTTATAGACGATCATTGGTGCGGTGGTCACGGTACTGTGTACGTTTAGGGGTGATCCTGGACGGCATGGGTTCGAATCCTGGCCGGGTCAAAGAGTTCTTAGTGATATATGGCTTGCGCGTTCATGCAGCTTTCTCACACATGTTAGACTCAGTGCGGCCCGTGCATGCGCCAGAATTTGATGAAAAACTGTACCCAAATGGATCCATGAGTGTCGTCGGGGGTTGGTCAGTCAGGGAGCTTAGTTAATAAGCGCCAAGACTGACCAATCCTTATAGACGATCATTGGTGCGGTGGTCACGGTACTGTGTACGTTTAGGGGTGATCCTGGACGGCATGGGTTCGAATCCTGGCCGGGTCAAAGAGTTCTTAGTGATATATGGCTTGCGCGTTCATGCAGCTTTCTCACACATGTTAGACTCAGTGCGGCCCGTGCATGCGCCAGAATTTGATGAAAAACTGTACCCAAATGGATCCATGAGTGTCGTCGGGGGTTGGTCAGTCAGGGAGCTTAGTTAATAAGCGCCAAGACTGACCAATCCTTATAGACGATCATTGGTGCGGTGGTCACGGTACTGTGTACGTTTAGGGGTGATCCTGGACGGCATGGGTTCGAATCCTGGCCGGGTCAAAGAGTTCTTAGTGATATATGGCTTGCGCGTTCATGCAGCTTTCTCACACATGTTAGACTCAGTGCGGCCCGTGCATGCGCCAGAATTTGATGAAAAACTGTACCCAAATGGATCCATGAGTGTCGTCGGGGGTTGGTCAGTCAGGGAGCTTAGTTAATAAGCGCCAAGACTGACCAATCCTTATAGACGATCATTGGTGCGGTGGTCACGGTACTGTGTACGTTTAGGGGTGATCCTGGACGGCATGGGTTCGAATCCTGGCCGGGTCAAAGAGTTCTTAGTGATATATGGCTTGCGCGTTCATGCAGCTTTCTCACACATGTTAGACTCAGTGCGGCCCGTGCATGCGCCAGAATTTGATGAAAAACTGTACCCAAATGGATCCATGAGTGTCGTCGGGGGTTGGTCAGTCAGGGAGCTTAGTTAATAAGCGCCAAGACTGACCAATCCTTATAGACGATCATTGGTGCGGTGGTCACGGTACTGTGTACGTTTAGGGGTGATCCTGGACGGCATGGGTTCGAATCCTGGCCGGGTCAAAGAGTTCTTAGTGATATATGGCTTGCGCGTTCATGCAGCTTTCTCACACATGTTAGACTCAGTGCGGCCCGTGCATGCGCCAGAATTTGATGAAAAACTGTACCCAAATGGATCCATGAGTGTCGTCGGGGGTTGGTCAGTCAGGGAGCTTAGTTA